TTCCCTGGAGCCGATCGCGCGGTCGGTTTTGCGTTTCCGCTCCAACGATCGACCCGATCCTCCTCTTCTCTCCTTTCATCTGCTCCCAGCCAGACCGGAGCCTCATTTCTCTTTCCAGGCTTATCATCGTTCGATCATTTTAATACGTCTCCTTTCTATACACTGACTCACACACTTGTGTAACGTATTACAGAGATTGCTGCAGGTGATCGATTTTGTAATATTCATTAAAAAGGTATTTTTCGAAACAACCAGATTGTGTCTTTGCGTCGGGCGGAGAAAGGGCGGAGTGGAATATTATTTGGTAAACGATACGAAAGCGATAAAGAATTCATTATACTCGGATTTTTCGATGAAAAATCATGGATCAAGTCCTTGAAACTAGTCCCCTTTCGTTTTGTGGAAAATACAGTGGCGTCCTTTGTTCGAGAAGAGCATCGAGCCGTCAGAGGTTCGTCACTTTCGTTTTCCATTCGAATCGTTCGGTTCCGAGCGTTCGCGGATAAATTCGTCACGGTTGCCTGCGGCCCTTTCACGGCTGACGTGGCCTACGGGAAAAATCAACGTCCCGCCGATGAATAGTTGCGCTAATAATAATAATAATAAGAAGAAGAAGAAGAAGAAGAAGGAGAAGAAGAAGAAAAAAAAGAAGGAAAATGCGCTACAATTACGGCTGTCAACGAGACAGGGGATAATAAATCGGCGGCGTTCTCGATCGGTCGCGATGTTATCGAACGGCACGACCGCGATAACCACCTGGACACGTTCGATTTATTTCGCTTCCATCTTCTTAATCTTGATTTCAAGCATCTTAAAAGCTTCCTTTGATTATCTTCATTTAATTTCACGAAGAATCTTTCCCCTTTTTTAATTGAATTCGTTGCGGAAGATTATATCGCGTTTGAAACGAAGTTACAAATGAAGTTATTTGTTGGAAAATGAATAAGCACACCGAGTGAACTGGGAATCGAACGATGTGTATCGGAGGAGGTATCGGTCCCATGTTCCCGGAAAAGCATAGAAACGAAGGGGGAGACGGTGGCGAAGGTGGAAACGGTAAATCATACGGTGGCGTCGCGTCGGCCCGTATCGAGTACGTTTCACGTAGTGGAAGGCAATTTCGCACGACAAGCGGCAGCACGGTTTGCCCCGTGGAATCCGGTAGAGTTTCGCTGCCAGCAGAAGCGTTGCAGTTTAACTGCGGATGCCTTTAGAACGCAAAACCGCCTGTACCGTGCGCCACTAGCAGATTTACGAGCGAATTCTGCGCTGGCGAATCGCTCGGTTCGCCCCGAAGCGAGACGAGTCGATGGCCCTTTGTGCAACGCAACGTCGATCCACTTTCAGATCTTCTGCAGCAGAACGCATAGTTTTACGTAATCGAATGATAGTTGATCGTTAAAAAAAGAAGAGCATAATATTGGACACACCGCACCGTCTCCTTCGAAACAAATTACCGAGAAATCTTAAAGAAATTAACAAAAAACTTACGAAAAATCCTGTCAACATTGCATTAGCGGACAGGCATAACTTCAGCAGCGATAAGTGACAAGCCGTACAGGTGAAACGCGAAATTATCACCTTCTTGCCTCGAGAATATCACGATAATTGCTCAAGAATATGTCGCGTGCATTCGGGACAACGTCGTCCATTAACGTTCTTGGATCGAACGTGAAACGTGCCAGCTTGATAGCGAGAAGACGCGTTTAAAAAGACATTAACTTCTTTGTCGTTGGTAAGCTGATGATCGAGGAACGCGAACGAGTCACGAATCATCCTGGTGTCGCACGCACGTCGCTCGTTTCTGCTCGGAATTCGCTTTTTATCCAGTCGAGCTTTCGCGATGTTTCCTGTCACCGTACGATATCCTCTACTTAAATCACACTTGTATCTTAACACGTTCGATGCTATTACGGTCACTGCTAACCGAGGCTATATCAATTTCATTTCGTTAGTCAAATGATTGAATTTCAACAACCATTATGTTCCACAGTGAAAATGAACGTCTGTAGTCAGACATATTATAGAAAGTTGCCCACTGAGCACCAGTTGCCCAGATCTACTCCGTCTTATCGATTACACCTGTTCCTTTCGATAATCTTACAACATGGAGAACAGGTTTCTATTCTCCTTGACATTTACCTAGATTCCTGTGACAGAAGTACAATTTCAGGAAGAATCACCTTTTTTAGACCGTGAATTTTTATCTCGATATTCTGAAATTGGATCGATAATACTGATCGATTTGGATCAGAGAAGAATTGTCGAAACAACATTCCTCTATCATGAGGAAACAAATTCTATCTATTATTTCTACAGATCGTTTATTTGCGCGTCCATCGAGGATACATTTGACTGCGCTACAATCCGAATACTTCAAAGACACGTTGAGATTCTCAAAACTGGGATTTCAATATTTTTTCGTTGCGTCAAAATTTCATGACAAATGTGTCGAAGCGGTTTACCGTAGAAGTTGCATGGTGCTAGAGTAATTGGTATACAGTGAAAGTATCGAATGTAACTTGAGTTTTGCGTGTTGAGCCTGTATAAATATCCGTCGACTTTCTCGTTCGGACGCTAAGCATCAGGACACATTATGAGCGAATCCGACGAAATTTCTAATAATAATAATACCGAAAGGTGTGGCGAAACAGAAATTTGGAACAAGAGATTTCAGTTTATCTGGTCGTACAAGATTGAAAGCCTTTCAATAATTTCAGACACGCTTGGCTCGTTTAAGCTCGACCTACGACACTGGTGTCGCGACAGCAAGGAGAATCGGTACTGTCGCCTACAATAGCCTCGAGTCCTTTCGCGGGAGAGAAAGGAAATCTCGAAGAGGAGCGTCTCGTTCGATTGGTAGATGGTGTTCGGTGTATCGATATATTAGCGAGGTACCGCGAACGGTCAAAGAGCAAAGAAGAAGAGGATTTTAGCGTGACCGCGAACAGCCGCGGAATTCATCGGTCGATTAAATTCCGGGGCGATGCAGAGGCATGCGGACAGCGGACAGCGAGCGAGCAAAGCGAGTGGCGTGTGTGCTGTTCTCTGCGGTGCCGTGAGCACCGTGCCGCATCGTCGACAAACCGGTTTTCCATACGTTTTAATTTCACGCTGACATCGGCGCAATTCAGTTTACACGGATACTGGCCATTTTCTAACGCTAGCGGCCCGCCACGGAGATTAATGTCCAGCCAGCGGACGGGCCCAGCGTGTATTTTCGACCTTCCACGGATCGAACGGACGACAAGTTTCCCAGGAACGCGGTACGACCCCGGGACAGACGATTTCCGCTCGATTCTGCACCGTCGCGTCGGCGTCGCCCCTTCGATACCGAACGCGTTCGCCGTACAGTGAAAATGGCCATGCGTAGTCAGACACGCTATAATTATAATTACCTATTCGGAATACCATCCCACCTGCTACCTCGATCATGGAGACATCGACGATTTCAACCTTTTTTACCCTTCTCTTTAAACTTCTTAAAACTGACTCATCCGCGCGGGAATAATCAAAATATAAAATTGCAGACGCCAATTATTTCATAAAAATAATATCAATGGTTAATGTAAACACTGCAAATTTTTCGAACAGTTCAATATTTATACTCTTTGAAATATTAACAGACGATCTACTGATATTCCAAAAACGAGATTGGACGATTTTTCATTTATATTACTACTGAAATACCTATAAAATGAGTTTCAATTCATTGTTTCTCTACCGTTGCTCGATCACGCATCATCAACGTGGATTAATTATTATCGTCGCACGTTTAGTGGTTGCTTTTGAAACGACAGATTAATTTCTTAAAAGAAGATTCATTTCTGTCCAGGTATAATTGTTAGGTGACACTTTTAATCACTGTCAAAGCACGCCCTAATGAGTTTCCTGCATCATCGACGTGCATTTATTATTTTCACGGAATTAGCGACCTTCTTCGAAACGTTAATCAGCGATGAATGAATTTTACAAGAAAAGATAGAGCGTCTTTTTCCTCTTACAGAGATCCGATTGTTACGCGACACCCGTTTTGAATCACTGCCAAAACACGTCTCTCGAGACGACGACGAGTTTATTTCTCGCGCACAACTTTATTTCGCATAATCGCAGCAATTTTGAAAATTTACTCCTCAACGACTTTATCGGCGTTGTTTCACGGAAACCAAACTTCTCAGTTCTCGAATTTGATTTTTGAAACACTCCTTTGCGCGAACACGTTTCACGAGTTTCTCTGGATTCTTTTTTTGCAAAATTCCAGTTGCAAAAGCACAAGAGCACTATTAGTTTCAGTCTCGTGTCTCGATCCAACTGACACACCGTACACTCCAAGACACTTTCAAATCACTGTTTCGAAAATTTCATAACAGTTTTCCATTCGAATCATTTGTCACTACTATGTGTTCTTGTTTGCATTTCGGCACCAGTGTTCCACTTGGCGAAATTTTCACACGTCACTTGAAATCAATGCGTTTTGGTTTGCGTTGCCCAACATCCTTGGAATATCGATGAATTTAAATGAAATTCCAAGTTGGCATCGTATCGGCTGTTCGATGGACATCGCGTTGCATCCTCCGCTACTTGTCACTTGTCCTACTCCACTTTTCTCTCGGCCGTGTGTCGAACAACAACAACAACAATCCTTATCGATCTTTGTCTTCTACTTGTCACTTGGTTGTCCGCTCGATTGACGTCACAATTGCAATTGGGTATATCGAAAGAGTCTGATTCATCGGCGTCACTGATTTTTGCCCTACTGCTCCGAATCGGCTTCGGATTACCGTCAACAAAGACGAATCTGTATCATTGGCGAACGATGTCACTCTGTCACTCCGTTTCGTCCGTCAATCGTGAATCGTGAATCGTGAATCGTGAATCGTGAATCGTGAATCGTAAACCGTGAAAACTTCTCCGTCCAAGAATGGGTCACACACGCGAACGAGAATTTAGGTGCTATCCTGAAACGCTAACGGATCTACGTGTTAAATAGATCGACTCACCTGCAGTATGTATCCTCGCGTGTAATCCTCGTACGTCCAGCCGAAAGCGGCTAGTAAACGTGTCACTTGCGCGTGCTGCAACTGGTTGAACAACTGATCGAGCAAGATCTTAAGGCGTATCGGTAGTGCGCGCGAGCCGTACAGTACGAGGGATGCGACGTCAAACGCGGCCGTCGGCTCGACACTCTCTGAAGCCGGTCGCCTCTCCTCCTTCTCCGCGACATCGCCTCCACCACCGACACTACCACCACCCTCTCCGACACCCCCACCACTGACAGTTCCTTCCCCACCAGTCGACCTCCCGCCACCTAACACACCCCCACCAACATCACACCCACCACCTTCCCTCGACGCGCTCGTCCTCGTCGCAGTCGTCGTCGTCGTCACCGTGGTCGTCGGCGTCGCCTGCTTTACCCTCCCTCCAACGCTCCTCTCATCCCTACCAGTGCCACGGGGGCTGGAGACGACATCCCCACCAGACGATAGTCGCGCCAACGCTGCAACAACACAAGAGCAAAAGAGACCGGTTAGAAAGAGAATCGTACGGATTAGCGGATGTGTTGGTCACCGTGGACAAACCACCCCCACCAGTCTGGTCTGCCTTCTTTCTGGATATACCTACTATGGAGCTGGAAAGTTGGCGTGTGAAAAGAATGCATTAATCTCATCCTACGTGTCTTATGACTCTGCTTATGGCCTAACTCTACACGCGGAGATTAGAGAAACGTCAAAGGGTGGGAACAGCCGGAGCGAATAAAGTACCCTCTCTTGCCCCTGACTCGTCCCACGTGTCAACTTTCCAGCTCTACATTGCACCTTCCACTATGTATATTCGCCTTTCATCCCACCCTACACCCCTTTGTCAACCGTGTTCCTGTCCTTTAGGGTTGTTGAATCGATACTAGTAAATACAAATAGATAATCCATACTTTTGCTTCGAAACCGAGTAAGTATCGTTCACAGGCAGAGTATAATGATGGAGTTTCGCGAGGGAAAAGGCCCGGGGACACGGTGTTTCCCGAGCGGCCCCCATTGCTTTCTCAGAGACACCGACATCACAGTGTGGTATATAGTTGTCGGAACAGCCATAAGGTCTCGAGGCGCTTTCCCTCCAGAACCGTCACGCTTTTCGCACCTGACGATTCCTATCTCGGGACACGAAAGTTTATGGGCCTTCTTACCGTGCAGACACGCTCGACGATGCTATCGTTCCCGGGTTTCGCGTACGACGAAAACATTAATCGAAACTGTGCGCGTTAATCTTCCTCCCCTCTCTATCTGTAACTTCATCGATCGTGAATTTATAGACTGGTCGCGATTAATCGAATAACTTGCAGGAAGGTTAACAAGTTGCTATCAATGATGAATTGCTGTGATTCTTTCGCTGAATGTTTGATTGCTGGCGACATCTATACCCCTTCAATTTCTTTCGATCGACCAATGTAAAAAATTACAGATATGACCACCCTCTTGTTCAGAGGTATTTTTTAAATTGTACAAACGTGTTCCGCTGTTACACGAAAGGTCTCGTTTGTATTTGATCGATCCTCGTACAATACCGTGACCGAAATCCGGTTGAAATTCGACGGATGGCGTGTTGCAAAACTCGCGTCTCCCAAAAATGCATTTCGCAAATTCAGCTAACGCAACGGACAGCTGTGTACATATATACCACCCTTCCATCGACGTTCGTTCGTCGGAAAATTCGTTGTCGCGAGCAACCATCGAGGTGATTCGCAAAAAAACACATCGCCATGTCGGGAAAAATAAATTGACAAACGTGTTTCTCTTTCGTTGTTATAACATTCGAAAAAAAAAAAAAAAAAAAAAAAAAAATGTATCCTGAGAAATATATTTAATATTTTTAGTTTCTCAGGTGTAATCTGGTACTCGGATCGATGAACACCTGTTCCCGTTGCCCTCGCATCACATAATCCTTACTAATTGCATATATTTACATTTTTATGACATCTATAACACAACTCGGAGAAAATTTCAGAGCGATTCTCAGGAAATCACAATAGAACGTAAGGAAGAAGGGATTTGATTGGAGGGGATATATTCGCTTTATCTTCCCTCTCTCTGTCTACTTCCTTCCTGTTATTTATCATCCCTATCTAACGCTTGTGTCTTGATAACACTTATTTAATGACTTTTTTTTATTAACATGCACCCTTTTATTACTTCAACTTAGTATAAGTGAAACTGAAAAAATCTCAGGCAGAGCAAGATGGAGGAGCAGCTATATCGATCGATCGATCGCCTATCGAAACTCGTTCCAGAAAAACGATTCCATTGCAAGGGTTCCGACGACTAGGTGGCGAGATCGTCATCGCGGTTTAATTAAATCGAAAATCGAAGAGTCATTAATGACAAGTGGCGCCCAATAGCGATGACTCCGTGATTTCTATTGATGCCAACAGTGGGATCGCTGCGAGGGTCAGACCGCTCACGGAGTCGCCAAAGGGCTCGATATGGCACCTATTACAACGACATACCAAGCGTTCTCCTATTACATCTGATAAAACTTTCGACTTCAGTGTTTTTCGAAAACAAAAATCCTAACGTTAACTGGTGCGCTTTTTCACCTTTAAACAAAAAAAGAAAGAAAAAAAAAAAAGCTGTGAAAGGCCGACACAAGCGGAAAAGGTAGTCAGCCAGCAGGCAGCAGCTACGAAATGGAGATTCGAGTGCATGCATAGATAACTGGCGGGGTAGAGGAGGAACCGATGATGCCGGGACGTAATATCAATACGCCAGGAAGGCAGGATAGTCGCGTCTGATTTTCCGAGCGCATCGGCACGTGGATAATGTTTTAATGGAGTTTGCGGAGTGCGAGGAGGGCAGCACGGCCTGCACTCGGGCCAAGGGTGAAGCCACCAACGGTTTACATACCATTTACTCGCGCCCTGTAACCTCGGGAACCGGCTGTTTACAGTACTGTACAAACTGTGCTCGCGTCGATGCTGTACCACCGACCACCATCTTCTCCGCGATCCTTACTTCCATCCCTTCTTATGATTTCGCGTTGATCGAACACTTGGATTCGAAAGTTCTACGAATTTTATGGGATCTGTTTCCTCTTGCCAGAAAATTTAGACTTTGAAACGTTAAAAAAATGTCGAAACATTTACCTGTAATTTGAAGCGATAATTACTAGCGTCGCTTAGGAATACATTATAACGGGTAATTTCAATGGATCGCCGGACGTCTGCCGGCGCCATTAAATCGTTCGCACAAAGTAAGCAAGAAATCACTTATTATGTTGTTAGGCAGATTACAAGGATGCCGGTTGCGCAATCCTCGGACGACGACGACTTCCTGGGACGAATAGCTAAACACGTCACCTTGCATGAGCCGCGAGAAAAAGTCCAGTCTGACTGGTTGCCTGGTTACTCGTGTTTTACCTGCTCGTTTAAGTGACATTACGCGATACGAACAAGGATAACGTCGATTTCGTGCTTGATTTTTATCGTTCTCAAGCGTTTCAATGGCTACTTTTAAATTATCGTGTGTCGCGTCGTGTCGTGTTGTGTTGTGTTCGTGGTTACGTTTCAATACACACCTGTTCCATTCGATCTTTTAACACCTGACGTTACTACACAGATATACATTTGATAACTTTGACTTTTCATTCTGTATGTCTTTGAAAGAAATAAAAATTTCTGTTATACATTATGTAAACTGTCTGGTTCAGAGCGTCATTAAACCCTTTGAAATCCTACTAGGATTTATAATGGAAAAATATAGTATTCTAAAAGACAGTGTACCTTCTTTTCGTAAAATAGCTTATATTAGTAAGAAGAGTAAAAAGATTCCGTTTGCGATGACATAGCCTGCCGAGTGCAGCTCGCTAAATGGTTGGAATGGTAAAAACACTTGACCGAAAAGAGTTTAATTCCATATGTACATAAAAGCACAGTCAAGAATAATATTGAATGAAATGATTAACATTAGAATATGGCATGTAGCGAACGATTTTCCAAACGTCTTTCGTTATGACACTCGCTATAGAATTCATCGAAAAATCCACAAAGAGCGCGTTGGCGACACGCAACGTTCAAATCGAACCATCTAAATATGGAAACTAAACGTGCTCGACCTCGAGAAAGTTGAAGAGAACGTTTTAGGCGGATACACGCCCCCTTGTCGAAAAGACAAGAATACGTCCTCGCGTGACACTCTTCTCGATCAGAAGAGACGCTGCGTTGTTTCGCAACGCTTCTGCTGAAACAAGACGCATATTACGTAAAGGCCGACTCTCGTCAACAGCCCTGACACGTTACCTACTCGACGCGACGTTTAGATCGATCAAACGTCTCGATCGTCCTTGCCAGGGACTAATCGGTGTTTGTACGCTGCTTGATCCGCAATAAAAAATCAAGAAGAAAGAGAAGAAGAAAAGATAAAAAGGCTCCCATTTCATGGGAGTAGAAGGGAACGTTTCCACAGAATGTAGCAGAGCAACCCCATGCAGAGAGAACGCGTAGCCCCCTGGTTCGCTAACAAATGATAGTTTTGATAATTAGCGGCTCCTTTCGGTGCTCGGAGCGGCGTCCCTTTAACCTGCCACCAGTGTCAATGGACAGCAGGTGCCTGGCCATTGTCTAAAAGTGCACGATAACCGTGGAAGCGCGAATTCTTTTCCGGAAACGCGGCGTGACCGAGCTGTTGACAGGCTCGTTCGAACAATAGGACGAAAGTCTGGCGAGGGTGGCGCAAAGGCGGACGGTTCTGAGACAATGCTCTAAGAAATTTGATCTTTAACGGAACGACCGGTCTATCCTTTTCCTTTGCCCGATGACTCGTGAACGAGAAAATTTCGCGACGATGTGATTCGAAATTTCCATGGCGACCCCTGTTTTCTCGGTTTCACCATCCTTTCGTTACGCCAACGATACCTCACGCAAATCTTTCTTTCCTGTCCTATTCGTTACTCTTCTATAGGGTATTCTTGGCCGATGAATAGCACGGACAATGAAACCCCGTGGAAACGCGTCACGCCCCATGAACAAAATCCCCCCTACACCGTATTCTAGATTGCCTCTCCAGCTAACTGTTTCACGAACGAATTCGTCGTGTATGTATTTATTTAACAATTCAATTCGATCAGACGAATTTCCTATTACTCTGCGTTATTAAAATCGTCTCGTTTCGAATAACTGCAAGCTACATGCACCGAACGACGCAATTCCGTACGTGGTGTTCTGTTTGGCTATCGGTATTCCATCGCAACGGACATTTTGCTTTCATCCAGCTTTTCGTTTTTCACCATTCCGAATCGCTGGAGTATCGAATCCCCGCGGACCTACATTGGTTACAATCGCTTTTTTTTCGCGCCTTCCTTTTTTACACGCACCGCCAACGAATAGCGCTCCGTTTTCCCGCTATTCTCCGAGAAGATTAGCCCCGCGCGTTGTTGAAAATTCGCGTGGTAGTGCGTGAAAATAAACAATGTGGTAAAACGTTCTCAGTGAAAAAAAAAAAAAAAAAAAAA